AAAAGGCTCCCTACCTCCCAAGAACGAGGTATGCAAACTTTGCGCTATCTGGTTTATCTTGCCTTTGAAGGATTCTAACTTGAGCTTCGGAGCCTCTACACCGGGTTCTCCCCGGAGCTTCTTCATCTCCCCCGTTTCAGGTCCACAGTTACTCAATTCAGAGGCAAGGTCGTTGACAACTAAGACCGGCCGGATTGTGCATCATCAGTTATGAACATCATTAGTGCTTAAGATTCTATTTGTTTGCAGTGCCAAATCTGAATTAGATACAAATTATGCACTTGGTTCAGTTTTGCATCCGTTTGTTTGAAATTATGATTTGCACTCTTATATGATACAAAATTTGTACTCATTGACAGTGCAAATTCTACATCAGACACGAGTCTTTCCTCGTACCTCAATTCTCTCTCATATAAAGTGGGGATGGGGACCAAATTATCTTGCTTCCTACCTCACTCCTAAAGAGACAAACCTCCTAGTCCTAACTCAGTTTTCTTTCACAAACAAATAAGACAATATCAAATTTGAAGCAAAAGTAAACCAAAATTTACACAGCCTATTTGCACTCCCATATCTTTATACCAATACAAATGAAATATTTGCACGGTAAACAAACTGATCATAAACCAAAAACGGTTCATATGGTATCATCCTAATGCAGTCACCAGTTTTCTCAACAAAGTTACTCCATTCTCCCCTGTAGCCTACTGTCCAGAGCTCTGGAGTGGCTCCATTTGAACAAGAGCTCTCTGCAACAAAACATGTTATTATGGGAATTGGGAATAGATGTTAGACTCTATCCTTCACTCCCTTTAAAGGGCGAAAACTGTCAGCTGAAGCTGATTTAGCGGCAATTAGCTATTATCTTATCCAAACAAATGACAACATTTTTCAAATAATTAACCGTATCCAATGAAATAAAACCCAGATCTGACTATGATCATTTAACAAAATTATTGCCGAATCCAATGCATATTGGCAATGGAAAAGCACGTGTATTCTGTGTTGTCTTCCCCGGCAATGGCGGATGACATTTACTGTTCTCTTCTCCTTTTTTTTCTCTTTATGAGTTGCAGCAGATTCAGACTTCAGTACTAAACCAGGGGATGTTATAATTTACTCATCACATTATTATTATTATACAAAGACAAGCTAGCTTTGTGGCATGTGAAAGAGAGATGAATAGAATGGACTAAAATTTTGAGCTAGTCGTCTTTAACTTGAGAGTTGAGACCAAGCAATGGATCAAACCAGTATCATTTTTAACTCGTCCAGAAGTAATATGATTTTGGGTTTTTATCTGAAACTCGCCCTTAGTTTTGTGGGATTCACCTAAACTTACCCCCATTTTTTAATACGTCCAGAGACGCTTGTATTTATGGGATACCTATCTTCCGTTAGGTATCCATTAATGACTGACATAAAGTGGTCTACATGCATTGTTAATATTTGTTTGATCAAAATCAACCCAGCAACCAAGTTTTACAATCTACCTAATGGTTCACTTCACCTAATCATTTGTTAAAACAGAGGAAGAGTTTTAGATAAGAACTCTATAATGGAGAAGCTCATTCATGGTTAGTAACGTTGAAGGCCCCAAGTGAAATTAAGTCAACCCAGTTGCTGAAAGATTCAATATTTTAATTTTCTGTTGCAGTCGCAGGCAGTCAACTCCAACTGTGTCCATGTTTTGTGATTGGTGGTTACAGATCGTGGTTATAGGAGATTCCGATTCGATTATACATAACATGGGTAGAACTCAGCAGCAGCCTCGAGTAAACCAGAAGTTCAAATCTTTCTGTAGTCAGGATGTAGCCAAGCTCCAACCATGAGTCGAGAAAGAGAAGAATCTGGGCAGGTATCTGTTAGATGTGGTGAATTAACTGAATTGCAGAAGCCTATACTCAGGATCCAGGAAAGAAGGGTTTCTCCGTTAAAAGCTCTTTCGATGCAGGAAGTATGCACAGTATGAAATTGTTCCTTCTTCCAAATCAGCTCCCAGGTTCATGCCGATTCCTTCCCCTACTTGCCACACTGAAACGATCTATCTCTCTGACGAGCTTAAGTGGAAATTGACTCTCGAACTTGAAGGTAAAAGTAAACCAGTAGCTGTCTGAACTATAGAGTCGTCATCTTCAATTTCTTTTACATGTAGTTCTGACGAAGAGCGATTGACCGGATTTTTGGATGGCTCGGCAGAATGTATCTGGGAAGATTAATCGATGCATACAATTGCTGCATAGATGTGGAGAAAAATGAAGTCCGTGACCCACAACTCCGGCGACAACTCCGGGAATGGTGCGAATATTGGTAACACCAATACCAACCTTTTCCCGTTAATTATGAGTTTGATTTTTTTTTTTCAATTTCATGAAGGGATCTTCTGGTTAATAATATGTCCCGATCTCCTAAAACTTGAAGTTAGTATACTTGATTGGTCAAGCTTAGGAGATTCAGACTTCTTACCCATCGATCCGTGTAAGATACACTGCAGGATCCCTGTTAAGAAGATGACCCTGTCCATGACTCATCCCTGCCATCAATCAGGCCAAAACCTATTGATGTTTATCGAAAAGGGCAAAACCACTCAAATGGAGGACGAGGAAAGGGTTGGGTTGGGTTGGGGTGGGGTTGAATGAAGATAGGTGTTCACTAGGCTCTGAAGCTAATAATATGGCTCACACCGGTCAATAAAATACATGGGTCCACAACCTTTTCAGGTTATCAACGTCGCACACCAAATTATTAATTAACCGAACCGTGCGCTAGTTTTTGAAACCAAATCGGGGTTGTCGATTTTTGGAAAACCAGTGATCGAAATCGAACCGAAACTAATCGGTTAATCGATTGATCAGTTCGATTAATCGTTGATTTAATTTGTCGGTTTTTTGGTTTTTATTATTTATAATATGTATTATAGAAAAATATATAAATATATAATAAAATATTAAATATATATAATATTATATTTTAAATAATAAATAGTATATTATATATTATAAATATATATATATATATAATACATATTTATTAATTTATAATGTATAGAAAATATAAAATATATAATACATGTAAATATATACTAAATATATATAAATATATGTATATCGGTCGGTTTGGTTAACTGCTGGTTTTCTATTTTGATTAACCAAAAATCGAACCATTACTTTTGTTTTTTTTTTTTTTTAAATATTGAAATGAAACCGAACCGATCAATTTGGTTAATCGAATTTTTGGTTCGGTTTCGATCGATTTTTTTATTTTTTTTGCTCACCCCCAATTAAACTAAACCATTTGACTATAGAAACCAAGCCTTTCTATATGATTTGATCCAGTTTCTATACAATTTGGGTCTGTCGGGTTTAAGTCAATTAGAAATCCAAAATAACATGTATGCTTACATAAATAATAAATATAATTTAAATATCAAATTGAAATATTAGCAAGTATCACCTATTACTATTATATAAATTATCACATCCAAACTGTGCATTGGGAATATCTCCCAATGACAAATACGGAAGGTGTTATCGATGCACACTCAGATGTGCAAGTGGGGCGTTGTGTGGGATGCAGAGGTGAATTCGCAAAATAAAGCTCGATAGGGGTTAGGGGTGCTGGGTTTGGTAATGGCTGATGTGGTGGTCTTATTTGCCATTATCTACCTACATTTGTGTGACAGCCTTTGAAGATGATTCCCAAAGAAAAATAAATAAAAATTTGGACTGTACTCCACCTCCAAATGCTGATTTAAACTGCAGATGTATAACAATTTAAAATTATAAACATCTCCGCCTATCCCACCTGTACGGTACGGTGGAGTTAGGAATTTTAAGAGTGGACTGGACAGTAAAATAAAACCAACAACTTCACCGTTCTACTTTCCACAAGGGTGGTTCGGTTCGATCTCATGTAATTCGACCAATCGAACCGACACTATTGGTTTTTCTTTTCGATCAACTGAAACCGAGGTTTGCAAAACTGTTAAACCGATTTTGATATTTTTTTCTTGGTCCGGGTCAGTTTAATCAGTTAAAAGAAAGTGGCTTTGACGATCGAGAACACAAGCTGCCTCTATTTAATATCCAGTGGGACTGCATTGTCATGATGGCATGTGGATTAGAAAGACTTAGACCTTATTTATTGTATGATAAAGGATTGGGTGGGGGACTTAATAATTGAGATTGGAACCATGCACAAAGGTGGGACACAGTGAGACCCAAACTCATAAATAAGAGTGAGAAGTTCTCAATGGGCGAGTTGCAAACTTGGAATACACTTTGACTGGTTTTGAGCAGGTAATTTTGTCACTAAGAATGTGTTTGGTTGCAATGCAAATAAATTTGTATTGATGTAAAATCATGATAGTGTAAATGATTTAAGTGTAAGTTCTAGTTTATTTTTGTTTTAAATATTAACTTAATTTATTTGCTTTCCGTACAAATAAATTAAATTAATGCATGAAACAGAATAAAGTAAAATTTGAAACAAAATTAAATAAGAATTTACATTTTTTATATTTGCACTAGTGCAAATAAAATTGCACTGCAACCAAATACAGCCTAAAAACCTCTATTTATGGAGTTTCACACATAAAAAAGGTTTTGATTATTGAGTTTCGAAAAATATGACATTTTACATTGATTTTATCGATGCAGTATTTATATTAATAATTAATTTAAATTTTATTTTAGATGAGATTTTACATTGATTTTCACTTCATCCAAACACCGATAAATCTGAACTGAAAGTAGAATTTCACATTGATCTTGATTTACACTCTATCCAAATGTGAATAAAACCAAATAGGCATAAATTTTTACACCGATGATGTTTTACATCGCTTCCAATAAGACATGGAAGATTGTAAAGTAAACAGAAAACTTATCTCTAACTAGTATTAATATATGAGACTTTTAAATTTATTAGTCCAACTGGTATGATTTCAGTTTACAACATAAAAAACCACAACCAAACCGAAAAGTCATGTTTTACATTTTTCAAACCGAGACAGATCAATTTTTCTTAAGAACCAACCAAATTGAGTTAAACTGGGCTAGTTTGGTTGATTTAGTGGGCTTGGTCGATTCTTACCATTTTGTGAACAGCCCTACTACAGGTTCTGAATTTGAAAACTTGAACTTTCAACAAATGGGGAAAGGAAGTAGCATGTCCATTTATATTTTGCTTCAGGACATATTAGATCATGTTAAACCTTTGGATTTTTTCTTTTCTTCCAAGACTGCAACTTATCTTTTAGCTTCTAATGATTGGTTTTGGTGAAAATGATTGTCTAATGTTCATAATATGTGAAAATCCCAACAAAATAGGGAGCCAAATTCAAAATTTTTAATCCAACATATTGGTTGAAGACGACACAACCTTGGTATCTGTCATGGTTTTGAAAAGTGGATTGAACTAGACGGTCAGATCGGTTGACCCAGAAGTTATCTAAGCAACCAGTTTCATTTCACCCTAAAACTATTCTTGGGCCAAAATTCATTGACTTGGTTAATGATCCACTGACCCTGACAGTCAAACTGTCGATTCGTCAACCAGACAGTGGTTTTAATTGTTTTTTATTTTTTATTTTTTAGTTAGAATAGACCATTCTTTCAAACTGGACGATTGAACTGTTCCGATTTTTAAAACCTTGGTATCTGTAATTCCTAATCAGTCCCTCTTAGCCATGATTTGGGTGAACTATTCACTTAGATTTTTTTTTAGAAAACCTCACCAAAGGATGCTCTCAAACTGTGGTTGAGAGGAGGTTCAAAACCCTATGCGGATGTCTTAAGAGTACTATGCCGAATTCAGCTAGAAGGGGGGGTTAAACTGGTGTAGTTCAAATCCCCCTAGTTATCTAGTTGTAATGGATTTAGAAAGAGCTCTAATGAGTCCTTTCCTAATCCATCAAAGCTTCCTAAACCAATTTGAAAAAGTGGAAAGAAACTAGCTCTCCTTATTTAACCCAAACTCTATAACCATTTTAATAGGATTCCTAGTCAAATCGTCCTAATCATTAGACTAGTTCTAGCTTAATTATATTCAATAGGAAACCCCAACTGAATTTGAGACCCAAAACTAATTGGAAATCTTCTAAGAGGGAGTTAGAAGCTTGCATGGTATGGGACCCACTAGCTAAGAAGATCAAACCAACTAAGACCCTCTTTCAACTTATAGCCGAGTGGAACCAACCGTGTTAAGTTGAATTTGCCACCTGGGCAAATTTGGGCATGGGTAAGGCCTACTTAGTGTCTAACACTTGGGTTGCATTTGGAAACAATGCAAATAAGTGTGAATGCAAATATGTAGAGTGCAAAACGGTTCATATATATTATAAAGTTGGGTTAGTTTTGCACTGACAAATTTACCTTCTTACCAAAAACACTTTTAGCTGTAATGGATGCAAACATGAATTCCATTTTTTTTTTATTAAAAGCCCACTTGAATGCAAATTTACTTCTTTTTTATTGATGTACTTTTACATCTTATTATCAATGTAAATGCATAAATGCAACATTACCAAACAAATGCAAAAGTGAACTAGAGTGCAAATTTACACTCCATTTACATTATTTCCAAACACAGCCCTAGATACTTGGAGTTTTACCATCCGAAAAGCCCAAGTCTTGTTAGTTTAGCCCATTTAAGTGATTATTAGGTATGAAATTAATCTCTCTACTATTAACACTCAGCACTTCATCTAGGGAAGGACTTATTTCCTTTAAGCCAGTATGACAAAATGTCCAACTCCCAGATGAACCCTAATAGAGGATTCTTGTAATCCTACTCCGAAAAAAATTCTATGTCCTAAAGACATAGTAGTAGTTCCCATCACATAGGTCATTGGCTCAAGTACCAAGGTAAAATGCTCCAACATACCCGAATATTTACCTAGACCTGATCCGTTGACAACCCTAAACCAAAATGGTGCCTACTATAGTTATTTATTATTCGTAGTAATATAATGATAGTTATTTTATTTAAAAAAGGTAATCTAATTTATTATTGTACCTCCAAATGTCATTTTTCTATTTTACCCGTGTAGAGCATGGATTTCCCTGCTAGTTTCACTTACATTTACAAATGAAATAAATGTATGCATTTTTTCAAGGTGGGTTTAAGTAGAAATGGACTGGGTTCAGACTATCCAAGGCCCCCAAGCCCAACCAATGTTTAGGTCAGCCAAAGCCCAACTTGTAACCCAAAACTCAAACCCAACCCCATACAAAAAAAAATAATAATAATAAAATAAAATAAAATGAAAAAACTAAAAGCTTTGCTTGGATTGAGTTGGGCTGGGCTCAGGTTGTGCTCACCCAAGTTGCAACCCTACTAATAATGATAACAAAATGAAAGGAAGTTGAGTTATTAATGCAATATGAGATCCAGTCAACACCTTTGGAGAGTTTTACATAGTGTTTAGAAAACTGGACCAAACTGGCCGATTGGATTGGTTGAACTGCCCCTAGCTGGTTTAGTCATAGCATCTTGAAAAATCGGTCAAAATTGGATGATTGGTTCCACTTTTATAAAACCACCAATTACTAAATGAATAGAAATTTCATCAAAATGCTAATGGTAAAATTTAAATCCATAACCTTTTATTTGTGTGTACTGTTTTGTTACCATTAATCCATATTTTTATTTGTCTTTTAAAAAAATGTGAGTTGGAGGGTTTGAACCATTGCCAACAGATCTTAACTTGGAATAAAATCCTTTCCATAAAACTAGTGTGGACAAATGAAGGATTGCAAGAATTAATCCCTTTTCATAAAATCCTTGGAACCAAATTCTTGTATATGTGTTACAGCAATCATTTAACACCAAATATTTCAAATATCATTGTAGGATAGCAGCCACACTGGTTGATATTTTTGAGAATTTTCTAGATGGTTTGATTTCAAGGTACGCAGTGCTCTTTCTCTCTTCAGTGTTGATAAACATTGAGAAGTGAGGTCTCATATTCTTATAGTGGAATTCTATTATCCTCCTTGTATAGCATACCAGTAAGACAGAAGAAATTGGTCATTCTCATCTTTTTTTGTCATCCCGCTTTCTGGGTAAGATTTCTTATGCACTAGCAGCTCTTTTAATAGATAGGAGTAAAAGAAATTATTTACTTACTTTGGAAATATACGTTTTTGCTTTTGAACTAATATCAGAAAAACTTGTATGTGAATTTAGAGAAGGCGGTACATTCTACCACCTGGTATGAAACATCATGGTCAACACCCCCCTATGTTAGCTTGGGTTTTCACTGTTGTACGTTGGCTGAGTGATGTTAGCCTTGCAATGAGAATGTTAGGTGTTTTCACCGGTCACTACACAAAGGTCGAAAGCAACAAAACTCAGGTACCCTTTACATGCTTTTACATAAAATGATCATGCGATTGAAACTTGTAATTTATAACCTAGAAAGGTTATTAAGTCAAGGGTTGAGCCAATAACCCATGACATGACATCATTTATTCCACACAACCAAAACTTGTAATTTTGCTTGAGGCCATGTTTGTTTTAAGGTATAAATATTTATCGATGTAAATGTATATTGATGGAGTTCAACTTTGACCAGTTTAAATGAGTAACTTTGACAAGTGTGATTATTGGTATAATATTTACATCCATAAATTCTAACCTAAGTAGAATTTATATTGATTTTCGATGTAAGACTACATTACTCCATCCAAATCCAAATGCCAACAAGTATGAATCGAGATTGGAGTTTTACACCGATTTATATTTACATTGAAAACAAACGCAGCCTCAAGGAAAGTCTTTTGGTATTGGAGGCTAAGAGCCTATGCCATTGGTAATGTCCTCGGGCATGACATGTTAGTATTGGTGTGAGGTAAAAGAGTAATTATATAATTGACCAAGAAAAAACAAGTAGGGGACTGAATGGATGAATTGACGTCTTGTGCTTGTGCCCACTATTAGCTCCCAACACCCAAATGGTCTGATCAAATTCGAACACACTAGTGTTTGAAGGAAAAGACAAAACAACGCATAATTAATTCACGCATTGGTGTATTTGCATTTCATAGTTTTCCAATCATCCGGTTCGGTCAAAACCTAATAACTTCACAAGCTGAACAGCTTTTGATATTCAACATACACTAGAAGACTTGAACTATCTTTTCAGAAACCCCAAAAATGACAGAAATATATATAAGCCATGTAGTTAATTGTGAACGATTCAATACCTCTCTAATTTGTAATTTTTATAACATCTCTAAAGTGCATAATTTTTTGAAGGCTAGAGGATTGATGAAGATATTGACAACTTGATATTCAATCTTGATGGAACTTCAGTTCAATTTGCCCCATTCTCCTTCCATGAAAAACTAGATTTCTTGTTGAAATGTTGTCTATACGGGCATCTGATTCCTCATATACTACTGAAATGTTGATTATCATTTCAAACTATCTAAGTCTAAGCCCAAGTGGGTACCTTCAATTTATAATCTTTCCACTTTAAATTGATGTTGCCAGGATAATTGAATTTACTTGGATTCAAGTTCTTATAGAAAAATATTAGAGATTTTCATCCATCAAAGTACATGATCTTACACTTCTTGATCCCTATACATCATTAACTTTTATCTTCATTTGTCAAAAATAAAATTTCATGTCTTAGATGCTTGATTGCAAAGTGCTCCTAAGATATGTCTACCCTACTTATCATTATTGCACAATTGTGGAGAAAAATAAAGGCGAGATTGAAGAACTCCGGCGTTGGTGTCAATATTGGTAATTTAAAATGTTCTTCAAATATTAATACATGTAACTTAAGTTCTATGGTGCTTTGCTTTGTAACTAACTTCGGTTCTAGGATGCTTTGCTTTTGTGCCTCTTAATTGATGCTATGCAACTTATTGTTTAATTTTAAATCTCCTAATTAATGTTTCTACTTCAACTTTAATTCTCAAGTGATTTTGAATCTCATTCTTGTTTGAATGTATGAATAGATCTTTGAAAGTTCAACATAATCATTATCATTTAAGCCTTATCCCCACTATATGGGTCACTACATGAATCCAATTTGGCCATTTTGCTCTATTTAATGACATCTTATTGTTAAATTATGAGTATTTAAATCATTTCTTATTATCTCAACCAATGTCCTTTTAGGTCCACCCCTAGTCCTCTCCTTCAAATTATAATAGAATCACTTCTTATTAGGGGTGCACTTTGTGTGGGCCCAGCCCAAAATTTTACATGCGCTGGGCTCTGGCCTAAGAAGTTGGTAGCCCAAACTCGGCCCAAGCCTAACCCAACTATACACATTCGTACATACATGTGTATATATATGTAAATTTTGTATACATACATAACACACACACACACACACACACACACACATATATATATATATATATATATATATATATATATATATATATTTCTTTTTTCATCTATCAAATGTTCTTTTTTCTACAATCAAGAGTTGAAGTCAATTTAATATTAACGTTATTATATATAAAATAGCATACTTATCATGTTTAAAAAAAATTGCATAACTTATAGTTGGCATACTTTTGATGAATTATGCATAGTTGTATATTTTTTGATAAACGTACATTTGCATATATAGGTAGTTGCATACATCTTTAGTACTCACATAAATAGATGTTTATGTAATAATTATCCATATAAACATGAAACTAAGTTTAGGTTTTTGGGTAAAGCCTCAACCCAACCCAACCAAACTTTTTTGGGTTACCTTCAGACTAATCCAATTCAAGTTACAGTACCACCCACAAGTGTTCCAATGATTATCTATCCTCATACATAGCCTTAATTACGTCCACATATCTATTTGGAACATTTTCTTTTCCAAGATCCACCATAATATCTCTTTAGGGACTCTATCATATACTTTCTCTACATCAATGAACATCATATCAAAATCTATATTTTTCTCTAAAGATTTTTATCAATTATCTCAAAAGAATAAAATCTTCCATGGTTGATTTCTCTGCCATAAACTCAAATTGGTCCTCTAATATATTTGTTTCATCTCATAACCTTTGCTCAATTAGTCTCTCTCAAAGCTTCATGGTGTGGCTCATTCTAAAAAAGTTCATCAAAATATTTATAAAAAACAAATAGAAAAATTTTATTAGAATAAAGATGATACCTCTAATTATGTAGAGAAATGTTCAAAGGGTAACATGATTAGTTTTCTAAATTAATTATAAATAGTAGCCAATCCCTACTATAGCATATCATATGATTGTCTTGATATTCAGGGTAATCAATACCAAGATGGGAGTGTGATTTGAATTATTTTGTAAAATATCATGATATTGCATGTCTACTATTAAAATATCAAATAAAAATAAAAATAAAAAGATAAATTGCAGATAACTACCCTATACTTTGAGGGTAGGGACACTTAGCTCCCCGAACTTTCATTTGTGACAAACACCCACTGAACTTTCAAATTCCAACACTTTTCTACCTCTTCGTTAATTGGATTGACAGAAAGGATTAATTTACTAAAATGTCCTTTTAGGATCCATATGGAATAAGGGACAAAATTTCAAAATGAAAAATAATTGAGGAGAGCAAAGTACATTATCTGTTCTCACCCACTTTACTTTGGATGAAAAAGAAGAAGAAAGAAACATAAGTAAAGGGTTTATACAAATATGTAAGAGAAGAGAAAAATGGTCCCACAAATTAAGGTGGGAATTTAGAAACGTTTAACAAGCACTTGAAAGTCTCATATGAATCTTTTTCAAAATCAACTGACTGAATGCAAATGGAGGGGACAAAGTGTTAAAATTTAAAAATTCAGCTACATGTAGGTGAGATAAATTGGAATCAAGGAGTGATAAGCCATTTTGACAAAATATGTGACATTTGATGTATTAGGTATTTCCTTGTCTTAGAACCAAATAGCTGCAGAAAAGAGGTTATCATAAAGTAAATATTGGACATAGATTATGAAACATTATTGCCAAAAGGAGGTTGATCAGGTGGGAGATAATCACTGTAGGTTAGTTTAGGGGGATAAACAATTTTTTTTTTTAAAGCAGACCGGATTTCTTAAACAAGCTTCCTATGTGCAGTTGGATGCCGTGCTCTTGACATATTTGCATGTTTTTGCTTTCAGGTAGACCTATTCATGGGTCGGGCTTCAGTTCAATGATGCATTCAATTTTTTGCATAAGTTGAGCCCCAGCCCAGCCATTAACAGGTCTACGTTTAGGACCAAATGCCAATGTATTGCTTCATATTCCCATTATGTTAATTATGTGAAACAAGAAAGATAGGCATTACCTCTTTTTTCTTTCTTTTACTTTTTTGGGTTGATAGGCATTGCCTCATTTGTGAATAGACAGCAACTGAATGACACTATTTTCCAGGATAATAGTTACAATTCTTGGAATTTTTGAGCACGAATATGAGAAATTCATTTCATGGTACGTAGTGCTCTCTCTCAATTAGAATTTGTAAATGTTAAAACAAGATGCACCAATTTCTTATAATGGACTTGTGCAAATCCTTTCATTATATAGGTTACCCATGTATGATCTGCTAAAACTGCTCTTCTTCATCAGTTTAAGCTGTCCTGGAGCCATGGTATTTCTTTTTCATCTATTCTTCTAAATATGTATTTAATTAATTAGAGACGCTGCATTCATGATTAATCTAATTCTAATATCATAGAATTTGTTCATAAATCTAGGGAGCGACAACCATCTATGAAACCTTGGTGGCACCTTTTTCCAGAATTAAGGGCAAGAACTTGGCATATGGCTGAGATTTGTGTTAGTTTTGGGCCAATTAAGAGTCCTAATTTGGACATCATTTGCCCATGGCACTTAATGTAGAGTTGCATTTTTGGGAAATCATTAGTGAATGTAGTGCCATATTCTGATATGCAACTTTCTATTCTTTTTTTTTTCTTTAATTATTTCTTATCTTTCTATTCATTTTGCTGTAGCATATGAAATAATGCAAATTAATTGCATAATACATGTTACAAAACCTATATGCTCTCCAAAAGGCACCAACTGGCTCAGTTATTGGTAAGGTCTTTGGCTAGTTGTAACCCCCTTCCCCTAAATAATAATAAAAAACAATGTTTTAGCCCTCCCAAACAGTCCCTTGATCTAATGGCGCAAGGGACTCGAATTGGTTTAAAAGCCACACAATTCATTGGGTCTAGGTTTTACCGGTTTAACCTCTAAATAAATCATTCAGCCCGCTGGTTTAAAGTAGCCGTATCTATTGATTTTTATCCAAATTCCATATCACTCCCGTATTTGAGGTAACTAAGGTGATGTTTGGCATTGATATGAGGATTTCTCCTTGCTGATTATCCAGAAATTGGTGATTTTTGAAAAATCACAAAAAATTATTGTTTGGTATCATTTATGTTATGTAAGCAGTTTATTTGGTACTGATTTTCAAGGTTGATTTTTCTTCCTTGCAATCATCCTTTTCTTGGAGACATGTTGGATGCCTCATGATGGGCCGAAAATCGGAATCACCTAAAAATCAGGGGAATCACCGAAAATGGTGACCCCTCAAGATGGGCTGATTTTAGGAAGCGTTTTGCTGCCGATTTTCGTAAAAGTTGCAAAAATCAACCAACCAAACAGATTGAAAGTCATTGATTCTTCTTTTTTCTAATGTGGCTCCACTGTGGCACCATTTTTTGAGAAATCAGCATCGATGCCAAACATCATCCAAGAGAAGACGATGTACTAGAGTAATGGTCCCGTTTGTTTGTCCACCCAAGCGTGAAGGGGTGTTCCAGCTTTCCAGAACTTTCCCATCTTCTGGCTTTCTGTTACATATAAATTTATTAAAAAAATACATCTTCAATTATGATAAGACGATATTGGAAAACTTACAGCCAATCAACCCGTGTGATAAAAGAGGTGACCAATCAGGTGGTATTCATTAAAATTTATGGGGGTGCTTTGATTGATCAAAGCTCTTTTAATACTATATCTTTCCAGTATCATAGATTTTTTTCCTATAAAATATTCAGTTTTCTGATTAGATAGCCCAGAGTTTTGCTTCACTCAATCCATCCAATTGAACTATGATTACACAAGGCCTCTTTTTGTTGTGTTCGGATCTCCTACCCACAAGAACCCTACCCACAGGACACTACAGCTGTACATTAAGAACATCTCAGGTATTTATATGTTATCATTCGTAAAGAAATATTGCCAATATACAACTGTAGTGTCTTGTGGGTAGGAAATCTGGATTGCTTTTTGTCACATATTATCTTGACCACTTGTCATGTCTGAGAGAATATGATGTATTGTGTATCAAATTATATTACACTAGCTGCAAATTACATTTTAGGCATTTGAGGCAGACGACCACAAGTTACATCAACCATACAAATAAAAAATGCTGCACAAAAAACTTAGGGGGTGTTCGACAACATGATTAGTTTTTATTTTTTTTGAACACAAACACAACTGTCACATCAGAAAAAAATGTATTGTTTTGTTGGTGATGCGTCAGTTGTTTTTGTTTTCTAAAAAAAACATATTATTGAACACCCCGACCCTTGGTTGCCCTATTATCCGTTGTAGCTCATTAATTCGAACCTGGATCTCCTGTAAGGAAAAATGCTACACACATAGCATGCAGACGTATATGTAGAATATTAATTTTACATACATGTATGTCAAATACATGGAGAGATATTTCCTTTTACTTCCAAGATACCCCATTTGTATTAATTTAAGGTCCTCATTATGAACATGGACAAGTAGTTCAGTGTATAAAAATTGGCCCATGAAACACCTCCCAGAAACTGCATGCTTATGTTTTTTTTTTTTAATTCCTTATGATCACCAATTTATCTCATTTAGTTTTTCTTTACTATTCAAAAACAAATATTTCATTTTCTATACCAACTTAATGGTTACTAATGGTATTATGAACTGAAACACATGTCATCTTCTCAATCCGCAACTTAAATGGCAAATAGGTGTATCATGTCTTGGATCAAAACCATTGTCCTAAGTAACACTTTAATCTGTTGCACAATCCAATAGATTCCAAATACACTCCGTGTGAATTCTGTTGAATAAGCCATCAAGAGATCATTTATAAATTGAATTTCTAGTTTGATGAGAACAGTAGATCCATTCAAGATCTTCATAGAAATCTGTTACTTATCAAAATTAGATTCTTTGTTTTTAGGTTCCTCTTCCATCACATGAATCTTCCAGCCAAATAAATCTATCTCTAAGGGGGCGTTATTATTATTTTTTTTTGGATTTTGAAAAGGGAAAAATTGGTTAATTGGATTTTGGTTCACATTAACCAAGAATCTTGTATTCTTTTTTCAGATTTAGGTGAGGACCACGGAAAGTTTATTTTACTGAGTATCATTTACCCAGGTAAGATACTCATCTCCTAGGTGAGTAAATAATTTACCCACCTGGGGGAAAGTTGCCAAACATGAATGGGACAAAAAATCCCCTTTTATATATGGATTTTTATGGCTAAAATGGGTATTTCCTTATTTACCTAGAAAATAAAAGAACATGGGTAAATGCATTTACCTACCCAACTAAGTGCATTTACCCAGATAAGTAACTAAAAGGGGGCATTCTTTTTTCGGATTTTGAGAGGGGGGAAAGTTGGTCAGTGGGATTTTGGTTCCCATTGACCAAGAATCCCATGTTATTTTTTTCAGGTTTATGTGGGGACCAGGGAAAGTTTATTTTCCTAGGTATCACTTACCACCCATCTCCTAGGTGGGTAAATAACTTTCCCACCTAGGAGGAAGTTTTCAACACTTGAATGGGACAAAAATGCCCTTTTAATAATGGGTTTTTATGGCTAAAATGGCCATTGCCTTATTTACATGAGAAATAAAAGAACATGGGTAAATGCAGTTATCCAGGTAAGTGTTTCCTAGGAAAAACTTACCCAGGTAACTGTATTTACCCGAGTAAGTAACTTACTGAAAAGCGAACATGGCCAAAATATAATAATTAAATCCATTTACCGACTTAATAGGGGTAGGACTCCAAAGATCTTATACAATTAGTTCTAGTGGAGACGAACAAGAATTCAAACAACGAAATTGAGGTAGACAATGACTCTTAGCTAAATGGCATGTAGAAAAAAACAAAAGAGCTAATGAGTATATGGGCAATTGTGCGATGCTTATTATCTACTTCAGCATAGAAAGAGAAGGATCACCGAATCATTGATGCCAGACATCAAAGGAGGATTTTTCACAAACAAATTAAGGCAAGTGGTGTAGAGGATTGGTATAGTCCATCTTTAAGTGTTCCCTAGAGGAGAATATTCTCTGTGTCAATCCTTGATATAACAAACATGAGGGTGAAATTCAAAAAGCACATAGTTGTCAGTAATGAATTGAGTAATTGATAGCAAATTTTGTTTGATTTGTGGTACATGTAAGATATTTCGAAGAATTAATGGATGTACAAAGTTAGAAAGTATAGAAGAACTTGTATATATGGGAAATTGGAAAAGTGGATCCCTACTATGACTTCATCTAGACCTGAATATTCTGAATAAAGTTGCAACTTGAGGTGATGCATGGCACCTAAGTTAGGATACCAGGCATCATCATTGAGAGTAGGTGTGTAGGCTAAGGTTGTTGATCATTGGATTCTTTCTTGGACTTGGGTTTAAATTGCCTATCAAAACGGTTCTTGCACCAAAAGGCTAAGTGATATACATGGTTTATTTTCATACTTTGATGGCTTACATGAAGAATCAGTTATTGGTTTGAATGAGGTTGGTGCTTTGCCTTTGCCAGGTAATAGAGAACGCTAAACTTGGAAAGGAAATCTCACTCTTGATGATTGAGAGAGGGAGTATTTACGTTAATGAGAATGAGAGTTTGATTACAATATGTAAACATACTGATAATAATAATATAAAGAGATATAGGTAAGGAAGCCAACTAAAAGATAAGCATAGGGTTCCAGGTTAATGAGCTTGTGTCTTACATGGGTACGATCCTAGTAGTGTTATCCCGAATACCCCCCCCCCCTCAAGGTGGACATGGAGTAGATCACGTTCATCTTATGACACAACCACTCAAAATGAGAAGTGGCTAAAGGCTTTGTCATACAATCAACAAGTTGATATCAGGAGGAAAAAAACCATACTATAAGATGACCCTTGGAGACGAGGTCACGAACAAAGTGTATATCAATTTCGATATGTTTTCTTTGGGCATGCAGGACTGGGATGGCGCTGAGGTAGGTTACACAAATATTGTCACACCAAAGCACAAGGGAGGACCTAGGAGCATATCCCAATTTCGTAAGTAAAGAGGTGATCCAAATAATTTCAAACGAAGCAAAATCAACACTCCTATGTTCAGCTTAAGTGCTAGAGCGTGAAACAGTTGGTTGTTTCTTAGAGGACCAAGAAATTAAGTTGTGGCCAAAGAAAATGCAATGCCCACCATGTGGCTTATGGTCATCAAGGCAACCAACCCAATCTACATCACTGAAGGCATGGAGGCAGAAATTCAAGGAGTAATTGTAAGCTTATAATGAATGGTAGTTTTCAAGTATCGAAGGATGCGCTTAACGGCTTTCCAATGCTCAGTGGTGGGAGAACTCATGTACTGACATACTTTATTGATTGAAAATGCAATATTTGGGTGAGTGGGAGAAAGGTATTGAAGAGCCCTTGCCATGCTTCGGTACTCTGATGGGTTAGGAAGTGGGTCCCCAATAGATTTGGATAGAATGCTAGAAGATGACATAGGGGTGGATGCAAGTTTGATGTCGTGTAGATGTAAACATTGAAGGTCTATTATATAACATTGCCGGTGAAGAAAGAGTCCAAACTTAAGCCTAATAGCTTCCACCCCAAGGAAGTAACCTATTGGGCCCATGTCTTTGATTGCAAAAGCTTGGCCCATACAATGAATCAAATCTGATATGAGATGGGAGTCAAAACCAATCAAGATTATGCCATCTACATATATAAGGAAGTATAACACAAAGGTAGAATCTTTCTTGATGAAAAGTGAGGTATTTGATTTGGAACAAAAGAAACCATCACTGAGAAGGAAGGCACTAAGATTCCAGTACCAGGCTTGTGGAGCCAATTTAAGCCCATACAAGGACTTACGCAAAAGGCATACATGATTCGAATAGGTAGGGTCGGAGAAGCCTGGTGGTTGTCGCATGTAAATGGTCTCCTGTAAATCGCCATGTAAGAAAGCATTTTGGACATCCAATTGATGGATAGCCCATCGGCGTGAGATTGCAATGAAGAGAATAACTCAAATAATCACTAATTTGACAACTGGGCTGAATGTCTCAGTGTAGTCTATACCAGTCTACTGTGTGAAGCCCTTGGCAACAAGCCGAGCTTTGTAACGATTGATACTATCATTTGGATTCCGTTTAAGACAAAAGACCCACAATAAATTTTCCACCATTTGATAGTAGTACACAATAAATGTTCCACCATTTGTTTGAATTTGATAAAGGCATTGAGAGCATCTGATTTAGAATGAAGTGGATATATCCAAATAAATTTAGTAAAACCATCAACAAATGAGATATAGTATTTATATCCTTGCAAAGAAGCAAGAGGGGCGGGTCCCCATAAATCAGCAAACACTAAATCAAGAGGACTTGTAACACTAGATTTCTTAGAATGAAATGACAATTTATGGCTCTTGCCAAGCTAACATGCTGAACAAAAGGCTAATGATTTATTTTTAGAAGACAAAGGTAGTTTATTTGAGAAAATTGCATGGCGCACGACACAAGGACAATGATGGCCTAACCAGTGATGCCATGTGTCGATAGAGCAACGTTCTCCAACTAAGGCAAAATTGGAGCTAAAATGAGGAAGCCCGCCTGGATCAAGTTGATAGAGTCCTCCTTTATTCAAGCCTCGAAGAAGTATCCTCTTGGATTGTAGTTCCTTCACAACAAAGGAATTAGTATAAAATTTAAAGAATACATCATTATTGGAGCATAATTGGCCCATAGATAGCAAATTCTTTGTAATGGAGGGAACATGTAGGATATCTTTCAAAACTAAAGGACGCGTAGTAGTACTCAAAAAGGAAGAACCAGTATGGAGTATAGGAAAACCTGCTCCATTTCCAATCTTGATCTAATCAGTGCTAAGATATTCAGTGTGTTACTTTAAGTTATTAAGGTCCATTGTGATATAATTTGTGGATCCCAAGTCTGGGTACCACACTGCATCATTGTTGGAGGCTATTGTAGATGTGGCATATACCACCGTAGGTTCATCTGTCTTCTTGCTGTAACGATAATAGCAGTTAACAGCAATGTGATTTTTGCGCTTACAAATTTGGCATGGGCCATCTGAGAATTGAGAGGTGGTAGTATTTGATCGCTGCCCCCCCTGTTTGTGTTCTTCTTTGAAGGAGTGTCCTGCTTGTATTCACGATGCGGTGCTGGTCTTTCTTTGATATTTTGACCTCGCGGAGCAACATTAGCATTGAACATATTTGCCTCTAACCCTATTCTATAATACTCACGACGAAGCTCATGATTTATAAGCATCCCTTGGTGTTTTTCAGTAGTGAGATCTTCAGATCTAGTGCTAATAGAAGTTACAAAAGCCCTATAGTCTGGGCCTAGGCCCATTAGTGTACGGAGCTTAGGATCATTTTTAGAAATAGGAGCTCCAATTACAGATAAACTATTAGCAAGTTACTTTGCTTTTTAAAGGTAATCTACCATGGGAAGCGTACCTTTTTTGAGAAGTTGGAGCTCGGAGTTAAGTTGCATCATCCGAAGACGTGATTTGGATGCAAAGAGTCTTTCAACTATTTTCCATAATGTGGCTGACATAATGCATATGATCATTTATCCAAGAACTTCTTCTGTCATCATGGACAACAACCAACTCAGTAGAAGAGCATCTTGTTTCTCCCATGTTAGGTAATCTGGATTGACAATTTGCTCTCACTAGATCTGGTACTAGAAGAGGTCTCTTCAACACTTGTGAGAAATCTTGCAGGGCATGGATATGACCCATCAACATAGCCTAGCAGACCTATACCCTTGAGTGCATTATAAACTTGTGAATGCCATAGCAAGTAGTTGCAACGATCCAATTTCACTGTCACTAGTTGAGTAATATTCATACTAGGCAGCTCTAGAGTTTGAACTTGGTAGAAAGTTTGGATAGACGTAGATGGGTTGCTACTTGACATGGTGGGGCTGTTTATTGGCTCTGATACCATAATAGAGAACATTAAACTTGGAAAGGAAATTTCACTCTCGATGATTGAGAGGAGGAGTATTTATATTAATGAGAATGAGAGTTTGATTACAATACGTAAACATACTAATAACAATAATTTAAAAAGAGATATATAAGGAAGCCAACTAAAAGATAAGCATAGGATTCCAGGTTAATGAGCTTGTGTGTCTTGCATGGGTATGATCCTGGTAGTGTTATCCCAATACCAGGATTGTTTTTGGCAGCATAATTGACCAAGGGAAAGACAGTGGTGGATGGAGTCATGCACATTTCAAATATGATTTCTTGATTGATCAAGAGTATTGGAAAATCATCCAATGATAGATCATCCTTTCGAGTGGTAAGAGAGCTAACTAGAGCATCGAACTCACTACCAAAACCATTCAAAGTGTAGTAAAATAATTCACCATTGGAGAGAAGTTGGATAACCAAGCAAAACTGTTCAAGATGTTCTTGATGTTTTGTAGATAAGTTCTCATAGGTGCTCTTTCTTTTTGTACGACAAGCAATTCATTGCTAAGCTAGGTAACTCGAGCTTTATATCTAGAGGCATATATGTTCTCTAGGGTTTTCCATGCTTCTCTAGTGGTTTGACATCCAATGAGTTAAGCGATAACCAACTCTACAAGCGATGACAACAACCAACTAAGGAGTAGTTGATCCTATTGGATAAGATACAACCATGTTTGGATCTCATTCGGATTGGTATCTAGTGGTGATGTGGTTGTCATGCTAACAGTGCCAACATATTCTCTTATTGGTTACCACACAATCTTTATGTTAACTATGAAAAAGAGCACAATACAACCATAACACAAAAACACTAGATTTGGGAGTAGAAGCTTAAAGCTTACTGAAATACAATATTTGTACTAAAGGATCTGACAAGGGGAGCATGTACAATACAACCATAATGTGATACAAAGGTATTAAAGTTACCAAAATACAAGCTTTACATAGAGAGGAGAGGATGTCTCTCCATCAGGACAAAAGGATCTCTCTTGCAAGTGTTGGTCTCTCTAGTAGTGTGAAAGGGGGTGTTTGGATCTCTAGTGGTTAAAAGTTGTCATGTGGAGAACATTCTCCAACCCCAACAACCTAGGAAGCTTTCCCTCTAGAGGCATGTAAAAGTATGGCTAAGTTTAAGAGAATCCCAGAAAAGTAAGGAGAGTTTTGGATAAAAAGTTGAAAACACTATGTGTTGTGTTGGTGCCTTGAATTCTAGTTGAGATTTACTCCACGACCCAACTCGAACAAGTTAAGAAAAAACCGAAAGCAAAATATCATATGGCTTGTGGTGGAAGTGGAGGGCTTGGGCTACTAAGCCCAAATAGACTTGTTATGTAGGAGTGGCCATGAGCTGAGCTTCTCACGAGCTATTTGAGCTTGGTTCATGAAAAACTCAATTCAGCTCGATCTAAACCGACCTTCAAGCTAAGCTCAAGCCTAATATATAGGCTTATTTGCTAATCGAGTCAAGCTCGAGCCCAATAAAGCTTGGCTCGTGAGGCTCGCAAGCCTAATCGAGCTTTTAGTATGCATACACATACATACTTATCTATATATATAATAACTATTTTTCATAATTCTTAATTTTTGTCTTTTTTTTATTTTTATAGAATGTTTGGCTCACTTTTGAGTTCGAACTTACAAGCTTTTGACTCGAGCCAACTCGAGCTCATGTCTCTAACCCGAATCGAACTCGAGCATGATGTTTTATTGGGGAACTGAGCTCGAATAGCTAGATATTTGGCTTGGCTCAACTCAAATCCACCCCTAGTTAAGGATCTCACAAATATTCGATCTCACAAGTTGCTTGGTCTTGCAGGTTGGTTGATCCAACACACATCTAGTCTTGCAAATTGCTCAGACTTGCAACTGATCATGTGGACTCGTGAGACCCAAGCTCATAAGTTATCTAGATTCCCGGTAGCATGATTTCATAGGTTGGACTCGTAGGTCCCAGTTTCTGGTTGATATAGGGATGGCTAATCTCTAGACTCATAAGTGTGATCTCACGAGAGATCACGGTAGCATAATTTGTTAACAGTTTGTGAGGTCAATCTGGTTTATGGTTTTCTCACATAAATGTATACCTTAAACAGAAAGTCATCTGATATCTAGGAGTCCAAGAAAGAGAACAAGAGAGTGTGAGAAATTGGGGAGTGTAAACTTTGGATGCATTTGAGAGCTAGTAGATTTTTTCTCTTAAAACCCGTAAATGGGAAATCTTTGTGTTCTTTATATTGTAATGTTTGTCATTTTCTTTCTATTTTCTCTACTTTGCTAATTGATTATATATTAGGGAAAATGATGGTTTAACTCAGTGTCAGAATTCAGAATTCTTAGATACAATTGGGATAGGTGCTAGCTCGAATTGATGCCAATTTAAGAGCGGGCATTGGTGTATATTATTATACTGGGTTTGTGAGATCTGCTCCAGCCTTGCCTATAATCTTCTAGGCACATTAATTTGCAGGCTGGTGTGCATAAAGAAACTCATTCATGCATGGTAAGTAATATTAAAGGCATGATATGAAATTAAGCCTTAGTCAACCCAATTTCTGATCGGAAACCTCTCCACATTTTAATATTATTATTATTATGATACAGTCCCTGTATCGTATTCAGATTCCATTATATATACAGAACACATCAGCCTCAACTCAACGCCATTAATACTAGCCCCGTACAAGCTCTGTTGACCATTCTATGAGCCTGTGATCCGGTCTCCGGCCCGTTCAATCATACCACACAGCACCAACTACCAGATCTTGTTGTAGTCAGCAAGTAGTAGCCAAGCTCCAACATCGAAACGAGGAAGAGAAGAATTAACCGAATTGCAAAAGCCTAATCTCAGGATCCAGGAAAGAAAGGGTTTTGACCCTCAAAAGCTCTTTCGATCTAGCAAGTATGCACAATATGAAGCTTTTCCTTCATCCAAATCAGTTCTCAGGTTCATGCCGATTCCTTCCTCTACTTCCCACACTGAAACCGTCCATCTCTCTGGCAAGCTCAAGCTCAAGCTCAAGCTCAAACGGAATTTGAACGTCATCAGACTTGAAGGTAAAACCGGAATATCTTCATTTATTTCATGCAGTTCTTACAGTGATGAGGGATTGACTGTATTGAGTCTGGGTTTTTGGAGGGCAGAAGCAGAATGTATGTCGGAAAACTGTTGGATGCTTACAAGTGCTGCAGAGATGTTGAGAAAAAGGAAGCCGAAGACCCACACCTCCGGCGAAAACTACGGGAATGGTGCGAATATTGGTAATACCAAGAAGCTCTACCCCCCGTTACTTCTGTTTTTTTCAATTCATGGACTCTTTATTTAGACCTTAGATCCAATTCACATATGCGCGCCCACAGCATATCCTAACCGTGTATTGGGAGCATCTCCTACATGGGGGCGCATGTGATCTCCCCTAGATATGCTGCTATCCTATCGACTGGAATCATCCAGTGCTGGATCCCCGAGAGTGTGTAGTAAGGGCTCTCTCGTTTTCTCTCCTTCCTTCCCCTTGAGTCTTAACATGGGCGTTAGAGACCCACTAAATTCAATGTTTTAAAAAACGACTCCAAATCGGAACCGTTTTGACCGGTTTTAAGGTTAATGGTTCGACCATTCGGTCCAAATAAACGGCACAAAACCAATCAATTGGGTCAGTTCAGTACATGTTTATATTTAACCGGTTAACCCAGCCAGCTGAACTCTAGAAATGAAAATAAAAAAATATTCTTCCTTTTCAAGTCTACTCTATTTTAGTTGATTTGGAGGCATCTAGATGAACTACTTTTGAATAGAAGCAAAAAAAAACTACTTTTGAAATTTGAAACAAGCCATTGCCATTATCATGCAATCTCAAGCGATGAATGGTTTCTTTCATAGGTACCCAAATACCAATGCCTTGGATCCATTAATTGTCTCTACTGTGCTTGGTTGTAGTGTAACTCTATTTAAACCGATGCAAAATTATAGTACTGCAAATGAATTGAGTGCAAATTCTGATTTATTCTTGTTTTAAATTTTACCTTATTTTTGTTTAATTGCAATTCGAATAAAACAAAATAAAGTAAAGCCCAAAACAAAATTAAACCAATATTTGTATTGGTAGTAGTGCAAATAAAATTATACTGCAACCAAACACATTTATGTCTCAAATTATTACCCGTCTCAAACGAATTGGTTTGTTGGATTGTTGAAAATTAATATAATGGGAGCTGATAAAGCTGGAGATAAATTGTTATTAGAGATCATTGGAGTTCACTCTCAACCCGTCCTTGTTCCGTGTGGCAACCCCTATTCAATTTGATGCTGCGGCTTTTCTTCGGGAGTAAAATTTACAATAGATTTTGAACGTGATGCAAAATTTGCAATATTACAAAATACTGGAATTGTAAAGATTTTTAGGTCTGTGGAATTCGATTGACATAGGGAGAACTAAAGTGTGTTGACCATTCGCTCTTGGACAGCCACGGTGGTTGGAGATTTGCAACCGAGAAGTTGGTCGCCGGGTGTGACTAGGTTGCCGCTGCTACTAGAACTCAATTCGACCGACAATGAAATCAAATAACAAAAGATCTGTGATCAATTGGGGATTATGAGAGGTAAAGAGGAGAGATGAATAAGAGGAAGGAAGTTGCTAAGAGGTGATGAGAATTGGGGGGAGGGGGGTCACCACATTTTGATGTTTCTTCTGCTTGATTACCCATTTCTGATTCTCCTCTCAAAATTTAAACTCACTTTCCCCAATAAATGGAACATATTCATCAAGTGTGGATGCAAGAACAGATTTACCTTGCCATTAGAAAAATCAAAGAATTAATGTTTGAGATCTCTGGACCTTACCCTCCAAATACAACATTGGTGTTAAATGCCAATCTTCTATATCTAGATCTGTTATGCACCGAGAGGTTAACAAAACAAAGAAGTAACAGAACCCAGAACCCATTCAGGGAAGTGGGAGGAATAAAAGGAAGAACACAAGAAAATAAGGATCGTTAACTCTAACCTCGGTCTCGGCCTCAACTGCCGCTGCAAGCAAGGAGACCTGATATGTCATCAAGAGGATGCAAATAGGGGGGCCACAGAGAGAGAGAGAGAGAGAGAGAGAGAGAGAGAGAGGGAAATTGAGAGAGAACGAGAGATTGAAAAGAAAGAAGTGGTGAGGAGAAAGCATACCACCACTACTGAGAGTTGCAGCAGTGGTCAAAAGAAACAGAGGAAGGGAAAACGGAAAGAAAAGGAAGAAACAGAAGATAGGGAAGAAGAGAAAGAGGGAGAGAGAAAAAATGAAGAAAAGTGGGAGAGGGGAGAGAAGAAGAGAGGAGAGAATGAGAGAGATTCGAGGATGTTGTTGTTGGTAGTTGCCAAAACTTTGTTTGCTGCCATTGTGAAGAAGATGAACAATGCCTTTTGGTTGCTCTCGCTCTTGGAAGAGAGTGGTGGACAATGAGGAGTGGGGACAGAGAAGAGAGAAGGAGAAAGAATAAATCAAGGAGAAAAACTAGTGAGGGGAGATCAAGGGAAGGATTTCCCTCATTTTCGGTCAAGAGGAAGGGGAAGTAGGGGCAATTTTGGTATTTTAAAATATTTTAATGTCACCCTCAGGATTAATCAAGGGAAATTTCATAGTTTTATTGGTTTTTGGTCTGGGTTAATGATGTAAGGGAGGTTTTTGTTGAGTTCTTTAGAAGTTTTAGAGAGGTTTTTATGTTTGTCAAAAAATTTAGGGAAGGTTTTGTATTTTACCGAATAGTTATTGACTTTTTGGTGGTGGATTCTCCATCTCCACAGTAGTGTGTTAAATACTATAATTGCATACTAGAGACGGTTTCTTAATCACCTATATTCATTGTAATTGTCTCTTACTATTTGGTCAATTTGACTATGATATCAGAAAGACATGATACCTAAAACAACTTATAACCAATCAACCAGCGTCATAAAAGTAGTAACCAATGAGATGGATTTTCATCAAATTCACAAGGAGTTGTAATTGATGAAAGCCTTTCCCATATCATATATATCTTCCCATCATAGATTTTCCCTTTCTACAGGCATTGTATCTTCTAAGATTACTAATTAAGATGAATGAAAACCTCTTTACTCAAAAAAAAAAAAAAAGACATCAATTCCTTTCCATAAATTCCTATGATACTCTAATATGTTTGTATCAACAATCACTTAACATCAAATATTTTAAATATCATTGCAGGATAACAGTCATATTGCTTGATATTTTTGGGGATATTTTAGATGATTTGATATCGAGGTACGCAGAGCTTGATCTCTTAGTATTATTCATAAACATTGAGAAGTGTGGTCTCACATTCTTATAACTGAATTCTGCTATCCTTGTGTAGCCTACCAGTAGGTGAGAAAAAGCTGGTCATTCTCATCTTTTTATGTCATCCCTCAATCTTGGCAATCTGGGTAAGATTTCTTTTGAACTCTAACCGAGAGAAAAAAAAAAAAAGCAAATTACTGGTTTTTGAAATCTATGTTAATTTGCTCTTTATAATATCAGAAGTTAATACTTGTATGTGAATTTAGAGAGGGCCCCTCATTCTACCGCCTTGGAGGAAAGGGGAAGACATCCATGTAATTTTAGATTGGGTTTTCAATGTTCAACGTTTGCTGAAACGTGCTAGCGTTGTACTGAGACTCTTAGAGATTTTCACTGGCCACTACACAAAGGTTGAAATCAACAATTTTCAGGTACTCTTTACATTAATAATTTTACAGATTGAATGTGATCACTCTACTGTAACTTTCTGATCTCTGAGGACATAGAACAGAACAAGAGATTAAAGCTTGTAACTTGTATCAGTAGTGTTGTCAAACTGAGATCATTGACAAAACTGGAAATGTCATTAGGTCACGGATCAAACGATCCAACCATCTCTGATTCATTGTAGCAGGGACCTGGGATCAAATCCCACTACCACTAGGATTGGGACTTGGGACTTGGGAGGGTTATAAACCCTCTCATATCAATTTTCTGGGTCACTGATATGTAAATAAATAAGAGTTTAGGTATTTTAATTTGCTATATATGTTAAATAGGTATGTGGCATTTACATAATTTAACTATCAAACTAAAAAAAAAAATTAAGAAATAAAAAAAAGCATTGATAGACAAATAAAATCTTCATATACTAATTTTCACATTGAGTGTAACGATACTTAAAACCTTGTACAACCATGGGTCGGTGGCCCCCAACAATTTTATGGATCCCCATCATAGTCACAAATAAACTAACTTATCTTCAGTTTATAGTTTTTATAGTTTGCTAAGATATTTGAATTTATTTATTTATTTATGGAAAAATTTTCCATCAGTATCCTGTATTTTGGTTTGAATGACAATTTGATCCTCGAACTTTAAAATGTGACAATTCAGTACTCAAAATTTTAAAATGTGACAATCCAATACCCGAACTTTCAAAATGTGACAACACGGTATCTGCCATTAAGTAGTTCGTTAATCAGCCGTTAAGTTACATTTGAAAAGTCAAAAATGCCCTAAGAATGCCATCTAATTCTTTTTATCAACCATCCAAACATTGACAATAAAATCAACAGTCCCAAATTCTAGATTCTTCTAAACAGTCACCAATTTTTTTGAATAGAAGAGGCTAGGATTTTGGACTGTTCAGTTTTTTGTCAACGTTTGGATGGTTGACAAAGAGAATTATATGGCATTCAAAGGGCATTTTTGACTTTTCAAATATAATGGCTGATTAACAATAGGTACTGGATTGTCACATTTTGGAAATTTGGATACTAGATTGTCGCATTTTAAAGTTCGGAGGCCAAATTATTACTCGAACCAAATTACAAGATACTGATCGAGAATTTTCCCTTTATTTATTTAGTTTTAAGATTCAATTTCTTATTGCAAAATGCTAGAGGTTTCATGACCAAAGTTGTAATCTATATGATCAATCATGTTTTGCACTTCTTAAACCCTACATATCACAAACTTTTATTTTTATTTTTGTGAAAGATAATTAAATTTCCATGTGTCTTAGATGTTGAATTTCAAAGCGCTCCTAAGATATGTGGCCCATGTCTATCGCGCTTATTGCACAATTGTGAAGAAAAATAAAGCCGAGATTGAAGAACTCCGCCGTTGGTGTAAATATTGGTAATTAAAAATGCTTTTCAAATCTTAATGCATATAACATTATTTCTGTGATGTTTTGCATTTGTGGCTAACTTCAGTTCTAAGAAGCATTGCTTTCGTGCCTCTTAATTGATGCAATGAAACTTTATTGCTTAATTTCAATCTCTCAATTGCTATTTGTATTTCAACTTTATTTCTCAAATGATTTTGAATGTTATTCTTGTATGAATGAATGAAAAGCTCATTTTGAAACTAAGAGAATTGCAAGGTCTGAAAAGTTCATCATCATCTAAACCTTCTCCCAACTATATGGGGTTAGCGAAATGAATATTGCTCTTTTCTTCTGTTCTATTTAGTGATATATTCATTATTAAAGTGGCACTTGATAGTATTTTTCAGACCTAAAGATTGAAAATGTTGCTTTTTAGATGCCACCTACGTTTGGGTTGGGTCTGATTTTCAGATTTGAAACCCAATTTTATATACAAGTAGAAAAGAGCCTCCCTAGGTGCTTAACGCACTAAGAGGCATTTCAGACATGGGCAAAAGACAAAAGAGCCCCATAAAAATTTGAAATGACCCATAATGCCCTTCATATAAGCCAAAAATTTAGGCCATTCGACTCCTCCCCTAGTTCGAGAAAGGAGATTTGCTGCTGGGAAGTTCTGCTCTCTTCTTCTTCTTCATTCTTGCCACCGCCGCTGCAACTCTCAGCAACAGTGATGGTTATTTCCAATTTTGTCCTTATTTAATAAATTATATTTGTATTAATTATTAATTATTAAATATTTTAATATTTTTAAGATATTAATTTGGTAATTATTAACTTTTTGTTTATTGCTTCATGGCCTTCATTTCTATTTTCATTATTATTTTAACTCTTAATAATTTATTTTTTATTTATAAATTGATATGCATTTTTTAATTTTATTCAATTTTAATAAATTATTTTTTATAATTTACTCATATTTTTCAATATTATTTTGAATTTAATTTCAAATGCTGAAGGTTTGATCCAACACAAACAACCTTTTTTATTCAAAGTTTCTAAAAAGTTGAAAAGAAACTATGTCTCTTTTTAGATTTCAGACATTTTTAATATCTTTTTAACTATTTAGATTTCATATTTCATGAGCAGTCAAATCATTTATTACTACTACAACTCATGCCCCTTCTTATGGGTGTTATAGGTGTCTTTTATGCACATGATCAAACCATCTTCATCTACTTTCTCTCATTTTATGACCTATTGGAGCCATTTGTAGGTCTTTCAAATGATTTAATTTCTAATCCAATCATTTCTAATGTTTTCTATTTATCCATCTCAACATATGCATTTTTGACACACACACATTTTTGGTATGCTATTTCCTGAGTATCCAATGCCATGATTTGTTCCAAATAATATAGTTGACCTTACAATTATTTTATGAAATTTTTCTTTTAATCCAAGTGGTATTCGCCTTTCCTCCATTTTGCTCATTCTTCTCTCATGCTATGGAAGATATACCCCTTAAAATCCCCCTTGTTATGAATCATCAAAACACACCTCCTACATAACATATACCCAAATTGGTTCTCTGATAAACTTATTCCATGTTGTAACCTTTGCTTAATTACTCTCTCTCAAAGTTTCAAATTGCGTCTCATGAGTTTAATCCCACAATATTCTAACAAAGTTTATCAAATTAATTAAAAAAACCAAAAAAAATATTTGAACAAAGATGATACTTTTAATTAGAGAAATTTCTAGTAGATAACATAATTATTTTTTTTATATATATTCATAATCACCAATATGCTAATAGATGGGAGTTTGATTATTTGAAATGTTTTGTATGGTAAATCTTGATGTGACATGTCCCCTGTCAAAAAATCAAATTAAAAAGAAAAAGGAAATAGTATCGATTGCTCGATACACAAAATTTTGTATCGAAAGTTTGGATACATTGAACTTTGAGTATATTTTCTATTTGTTCTAATTGTTATGTTGATAGATCACCAACTCAAAGAGAATAAAGAGTTAAACCACCATTTAGGGGAAGAACATCACTTGTATATATATACAAACACTATTTTAGACTGAAGACAGCATTCTTCATTCTCCTTTTTTTATTATTTTCTTTCAAATGAAAGAAGAATACATAACTTTATATGGAGGGAGCTAAGATTCCATTTCCTAATTACATTCACAACAAGTATATGGGCCTTACTTTTAATCAAATGGGCTTTATATAGTGGGCTCAAAGTACAACAAGCTAGGCCACATGTAGGTTAGATCAACGGAATCATGAGTGGCAAACTAGTTTTGACAAAACATGCGACACTTGATGTTTTAGGTTTTCTACTTGTCTTGAAACCAAATATCTACAGAAAGGAGCTGGTCTTAATGGATATGGATTATGAAATGTTATTGCTAAAAGGAGGTGGATTCAGGTGGGAGATAATCAGTATAGGTGTGGGAGATGAGCTAAAAGTAACAATTTTTTTTCTTTAATTTTTGGGAACTACTAAACACACACATATTAAGCTCAACAAAATTAAGCTAATGTCTTGCTTCATATTCCCATTGTCATATGCAACACTCAGGCATTACCTCATTGCAGGATAATTATTGCAATTCTTGATGTTTTTGAGGAGGATTATGAAAAAGCCTTTTTATGGTAGGTAGTGTCCTCTTACTATTTCTAATTAAATATTAAAAGAAAATGCACCAACTTCCTATTATAATGGACATTAATGCTGCAAATCCTTGCATAGGTTTCCCATGTATCAGCAGATAAAGCAGGTCTTCTTCTTCGCTTTAAGCTATTCTGGAGCCATGGTATTTCTTTTCTTATATACTTTAAATATGTACAATTTGAGAAGCTAAATTTATACTTAAATATAATTCTAATGTCATATAATTTGCCCATAAATCCAGGGAGCGGCATTCATCTATGAAGCCATTGTGGCACCTTACTTTGCAACTCGCAAGGAAGATGCCAATTGAATTAAGGGTAAGAACTTGGGATATGGCTGAGGTTTGTTAGTTTTGGACCAAGTGTCCTAATTTCGACTTTAAATCAACTGCCCAAAGAACTTAAATAAAACTACATTTTGGGGAAATCACAGTGAATATAGTATCATATTCTGATTTTTATTTTTCAATTTTCCTTTAGTCTAGTCTTTCTATTCATTCTGATGTAGCATATGAGACAATTCAAATTGTATTGTGTATGTTACAGAGCTTAATATGCTTTCCAGAACATTTACAGCCCTCTGAAGGTGCTAATTGGTTCAGTTTATAATAAAGTCTCTGGCTTGTTGTTGTAGTGGAGATTCGGGACAGAGTCCCACCTTCATCAGGGTTTGGGGATGTGCTACCCCCATTATTTAGTTCCACAAACCCTCCACCCCCAATAAATAAATAAATTTAGAAAGCTTCAGCCCTCCCAAATGGTCCTTTAATCTAATAGTGCAAGAGAATTCATTTGGGCATCCGGGGAATGTGGCCAAATTCGGCTCGGTTAACAGCCAAACAATTGAGTCTAAGTTTTACTGGTTAGGAGTGTCAATGGACCGGTATTGATTTTGGACGGTTTGTATGGACTAATAAGGCATTTAACCGGACCAGTCCAAATTTAGTGGTCCAAAGCATTTATACGATTTCCATTCATAATAGTTTTATATTGGATTGGGTCAGATTGAACTAATATCCAGTTCATTGATAGAAAATGAGAATGCAGGTGTCAGTGGATCAGGTTTGGATTGGAACGAATCTAAATCAAAACTAATTTGAACAGATTGGACAGTTCAGACATTGAATTAGACCAATATAAAATGGTCCAAAATGTTCATTGGATTGGATTGAACCTGTTCCATTTGAGATGGATTCATATTCGATCAGATCAGATTGGACCAAATTCAGTCCAATTGACACCCTTGTTACTGGTTTAACCACTGATTAGACCATTCAGCCCATAAGAACTATTAATAAAATGAGACCCTACAAAGATCATTGAATCACCAACATGGATTCCAACTGTCCGGTCCAATCCAAATTTGCAAAATTAAAAGAAAAGTTTTTATTAAAATTAAGTATATATCTATATCTATTAAATATAAGTAAAGAGTAAAGATATAAGTTAATATTATATAATTAAATTTAATTGTCATCACCTGTATCAAAAGGATAAATATTCATTTTATATAATAATAAAAATGATCATAAATCAGTAACATCATCTACTTAACTTTTCATTGGCTCATATTTCGTAAGGTTTAATTACCAACACCTTTCACTAATCGTCACATAGTCACATGGCATTCTTTGTCTAAACAAGGTAGGTCTTTGGACTGAAGTTCTTAAATCCATATATCTTACCCATGCTAAATTCATGAAAATCATACACAAAATAAAAGGGAATACTTTATTAAACTCTATGCATTTTAGTATCTCATGGACAAATACTCTTCTATTTCTTGTTTGGATTGCCAAGGGCCATCAAGTAGTTAGAGATGTAATGTGGGCCGTGTCGTGTCAGCCCACACTATAGCTGACTGTGCTTGGCACATGGGCCTGAGTGGGTCATGCCATGCCTGCCTGGCTAAGAACCCGTGAAAGGTGAAGCCTGAAATTATAGTCTTCTAGAAAATTTGAAAAAATAAAATAAAAAAGTTAGAACAAATTAACAAGATAGATAAAATATTGAAAAAAAATTAAAATTTTACTCTATATGAATTTTATTAGCAAAAAAATACTCTATATAAAATTTAATGTATACAATTGTTTATATATAAAATAATATAATAAAATTGAAAAATATTACATTAAAATTGGAATAAAATAATATAATAAAATTGAAAATAATATATATAACCATTCCATATGGTGCCAATCCGCAAGCCTCAAAATCCAAACCTGACATAGTCTACAAGTATGGCCCAGGCCGTGGCACAGCCCAATTGCTCCAGTGACCATGCCTTGCATAACCCATATCACAAGCGGCACAGGCGCATAGCCCACTCTACCGCTCTAGAAGTAGTTTTGTATCCGGTTGGAATGTCTTCCAGCAGCTACATGTTGAAACTCAATGTAGATGATGCAACAAATGCTACTACAAATGCTAGTGCTGTCAATACTCGAGATCATAAGGCTGGATTCTATTTTCTAGCAACTCATTATATGCATTCCAGCTTCATTGGCTCAAGATATTTATCAATTAATCGGTCAATGACTTGGGTTGTGTTTAGTATCATTGTTGTTTCTATTTGAAATGTTTTGGATTGATTAATAAAAATTGGTCAAAGATATGTCTTACTTCAGCTATAATGATTAGGTTTCACCCCTGAGCAAGAAACATCAATTTAGGTTGTGTTTGGTTGAAGTGCAATTTTATTTGCACTAGTACAAATGCATGAGAGTGCAAATATAAAAATGCAAATTCTCATTTAATTTTGTTTTAAATTTTACTTTATTCTGATTCATGTCTTAATTTACTTCATTTGTATTGCAACCAAACAAAATAAGCTAAAATTTGAATCAAAAATAGGTCAGAATTTACACTCAAATAATTTGCACTACCATGGTTTTGCATTAATACAAATTTATTTGCATTGTAATCAAACACAGCTTTAATGTTTTTAGAAACGGCCTTTGACCCATACATATGCACTTTAAAGCTATGCCTAATTAACCATAAAAAGTCTCAAATAACAATTGTATCCCAATTTATATTAATCAACCCATAATGTTTCATGTAGAAACAACAATGATACCAAACACAACCTTAGTTTTCACCATATCATTTGTTTGTTCTGCTTTATCATATGATGTAATTACCCATGTGGAATGAAATTCTTGTTTGTTGTTCCAAGAAACAAAGCAATACATCGTGAAATCATGGCCTAACCTCACTTCATCAAATTCAAAGTAGGGTCAGGCAAAGCAATACATATAAGGCCGTGATTTAAAAGCCATGTGCAACTTGTTGGACCGAGTGGTTAAGTGTTGGTGGGCTTATTTATCTTTTATGTTCTAATTCTATAGTTTGTTATGGGCCTTTAGTTATTGGGCCTAAACCTATTTTATTTTATTATGTCTAGGTGTCCCATCACTAATTAGGGGCATTCTAGTCTAATCATATAATATCTTATTGTTAATATATATATATATTCTAGGGCCGGTTGAGAATATGTTGCTACCCATTCACAAGCTTCTTCTTCTTCTTCTTCTTCTTCTTCTATTGATGTACTTCAACAAACATGGTATGAGAGCACCAATCGGCCTAATTGATACATCTAGTTTCTTTCCTTTTTCCTTCTTCTCTCTTCTATTTCTTTTATCTTCTCTTATTTCTACTACTGTAAAGAAGCCCTAGGACTGATCATAGCCTATAGAAAGGTCTGTGTCTAGGGTTTCTCTTTGGGTGTAGGGACCAATGAGAGGTTTTCCCAACCATTTATGCCCTACTAGTGGTTCTGTAGTAGTTAGTAGCCATTTGGCAACTAGAGAGATCTGTGTAGAGAATATCTAGGAAGGACTAAGTGGATAGTCCTAATTGTTATCTATGAGTTAGAACAGATCGCAGGGGGTGGTCACAACCCATGTTTGACTTCTAGAAGTGGTGGTTTTGGTCATAGAAGCTGCTTTTAGCCCAGAACTGGTTATAGAGAGTGTTTTCAGCCCATAACTGGTTACAAAGAGTGTTTTCAATCCATTTACAGATTTTTTTTGTTTTTTGCTGAGATTTGAGTTCAAAGGTTTTAGGAACCATAGGAAGCTAATCTTAGACTAACAACAACTCTGGTAAGTCTGAAATTTGGTCCCTCTCGTTGAGGTTACAGTTGTAGGTTGTTGCTAGAGGTAGAATATGCGTTCAATATCAAGACAAGTGTCATCTAAGAACAATAGGACTGGTGGGAGGTCTTCAAACCTAGAAAACCCAAATGTGCATAGCCTACAGATCACTAGTGTGTTGTTAGATGAGTACAACTTCAAAGAATGGTATGTTTCAACCAAGCTTTTCATTACTTCCTAGGAACTTATGGGTTATATAGATGGACAGAAGAAGGAACTGAAAGAAGATGGTGTTGATTACTCAACCTGGCATAAGAATGCTACTATTATGTCCTAGCTGCTTGCCTCAATGACTCAAAGAGTAGCAAGGATTGTTCAGTACTTTCCTACAACCTCTAAGATTTGGGAGAATGTGTTTAAAACCTATGAATGGTGGAAGAACAATGCAAGAAATATAGGCTAACCCAAGATATTGTTGCATTGAGACAAGAGGATATGTTTGTTGCAACTTTAGAAGGACTATGGGAAGAACTGGACCACCACCTTGTATTTGACTGGGAAAATACAAGAGATAAGGAAAGACATGATAAACAAATTGAATAAGGCAGGGTTTTTAAGTTCTTGACTGGCCTAAACCCAATGTATGAAAGCATAAGATCCCAAATTTTGGGAAGGGATGAGCTTCTAGATTTACATTATGTTTACTATTTTGTAAGAAATGAATAGGTTAGAAGGAAAGAGGTGCAAGTAGACATCCAAGTGCAGCCTGTTGAGCATTAACCTTGATTTCTTCAACCCAAAAGGGGGGTAAGCATTCAAACAAGAAACATCTCAAGTGCTTTCATTGTGGAGGAGATAGACATTTGAAAGAGACTTGTTGGATTCTTTATCCTCACCTGAAACCAGCTATATTAAGGAAAGACAAAAAGCCTTAGAAGGGCCAAACATCAAGTGGAAATGTTGTCATAAGTTATAGTGGTGAAAGACCAAAAAACACACCTACAGTTGCACCTTTCCGCCAATGGGATAGACTACTAATTCCCACACATCAAGGTCCTACTTTGATTTCACAACTAATGAGGTAGAAATCCTTAGCTTGGCTAAGAAACAATTCCCTTGCATCCACCTCTCTTGCCAAATCAGGTATTGTCTCTGCTCACAGCGTAACTAGTCCTATAGTGTCTAATTCTTGGATTATCGGTTCTGGTGTTATTGACCACATGACACACATGTCTTCTTTATTTTCTTCTTATCATTTGATGTTTGGCCAAGATAAGATGAGAGTTGTTGATGGTTCCCTCTCCACCATCTCTAGAAAATGAGAGTTTAACCTAAGCAAGGATCTCTCTCTTAAATTAGTTCTACATGTCTCATATCTTGCTTCCAACCTCTTATCTATTTCTAAGCTTACCAAATATTTAAACTGTAGCATAACATTCTTTCATATTCATTGTATCTTTCAGGATAGATTGA